AAATAAAGATACAAGCAACAAAATAGCGGTTCATCATTTGTCAACAAAACATCGAATGAATTGGGAAGGAGCTACTTGCTTAGAATTTGCTACTAACTTTAACGAAAGAATGTTTCTCGAGAGCTGGCATACCAAGAGCGAAAACAACAGCATTAACATTTGCCGCGATATGCCAGGCGCGTACTATAGTCTAATAGCTAGTGAACGTGCACGCGCAGACCGATTTGAACGCACGCGTCAGTAATCTCGCAAGGTTGCATCTGACGCAAGATAGTAACGGAAAACTTTTAATAGATTCATAGTCTTTGATAATGGTTTCCGTTTAGGAAACCGAAACGTTAGACAAATTAAAGTATTTTACCTTTTTGTTAATCTGGAAGAACAAATAAAATATAATGTGCTTTATCTTACATTGGTCTATCTCATGCACCTTAATTTTACTTTCCAATAGATTACTGTTAATTGACCACTTTCTTAGCTTGAATCCCCCTTGTGCCATTCTACTCATAGTCTTATCATATAACTGAAATGCATTATCTACCGTGCTTTCCCCACTAACTAAATCGTCTACATAGAAACTTTCTAGCACCTTCTTCACAAACTCATGATCGGTTTCAAGATACTTTAAGACATGATGCCTTAATGTTGCATTGAGTAAGAATGGAGATGCATTCAATCCAAATACTACTCTACAAAACCTATAAACAACTGTTTCCCACTTATCACTCTCAATATCATTTACCCACAAAAACCTCAAACAGTCTCGATCTGCCTCATCAACCTCCACATTCAAAAAAGCCTTTCCAATATCGCCTACTAAAGCAATCCTGTTTTCTCTAAACCGTATCAGTATGCTATATAGTAATGGATTGAGGGATGGCCCAACATGCAAGCAGTCATTAAGTGATGTTCCTGACTTACATTCCTTAGATGAAGCATCATAAACAACCCTAAACTTTGTGGTCACTGCATCCTTGCGAATGACCGCCTGGTGTGGTAAATAATGAACTTTATCAACTTTCTCTAATGCTGCTACTGGTTCTACAATCCCTTGCTCTACCTGTTCTCTGATGATGGAATCATACTCTGTCAACAATGCTGGCTCCTTCTTCAATCGTCGCAACTGATTCTTCATTCTACCTAAGCTATTTGCATAGTTGTCAGGCAATTTGTCGTGGCTTTCTTTCCAGGGTAGTTTCACTGCATATCTACTACATGTAAAAGATATGCCATCTAAAAACTCCTCATGAACCTTATCTTCCTCACAGATACCTAACCCTTCAAAACTTCACAGCTTCTGTACATTACTCTCCAAACTGTCTTCATTATTCAGTGTCTGAGCTACAAAATTTACTTGGGCTAACTCTGCTCCCTCTATATCTTGCACTCTCAATGGCCCTGATAAAACCCATCCTAACTCAGTTTCTATGGCAACTGGCTCTCCAGATTTACCTCTCTTGGTTACACCTGTCTGAAAATCCAGAGGTAGTCTGCTCCTATCAACACATCTATCTCTAGCTCACCCTGACACTTCGAGACATCTGAAAACCATATACCTTTCAAATGTGGGTATTCTCTCCTTGCTAGTTCTACATGGCTATTCTGTATTCTACAGATTTCTGGCACTACAAATGCTTCTAAGGAGATAACCTTATTCCCGTTAACAGGTCCAAGCTTTAATTCGACCACCTGCCTGTCCTCGGCATTGGTACATTTTTGGCCGAACGTATTAATTCCTAACAATTCCCTTCTTAAGCCCTTGGGATTCACAAGACTAGCTGCTTTAGAAGTAACAAAGGAACGATGATTTCCCGCATCAAAGAGAACCCGCACCTTAGCCACCCTTTCACCCCTTAAAACCCCGTGTACAGTTTGCAAGGCAACCATGCAGGCTACCAGTTCCCGCATGCAAGTTACTACTGGAACTAGTCACATGCACATTAGTATTAACAGGGACCTGTTTAGATTCTTCGTCTGGTTTGACTGTTTTATCACGTTTATCGTCTTCTTTAGGGCTTGCATCACACAATGCAACATGATGTGCCCCATTGCAAACATTACAACTTTTTTTTAACAGTACAATTACTGGCTCTATGGCCCTTAAATAAACAAAGTGGAGTATGGAAAACAATCTCTTCTTCAATGCCTCTAAGTGTAAAGTCCTCACCGTCACACGAAAGAAAACGCCTATCATCTACGAATACACCCTTGGGACCGAAAAGCTAACTCGGGTTGACCATGAAAAGGACCTTGGTATTACGACAACTACAAAACTCTCATGGAAACTACACATAAACACCATTGTTGCGAAGGCCAACAAAATGTTAGGTATACTTAAAAGAACTTGTACTAGTATTACAGACATGAACACCCGGCGAACTTTGTATCTGTCACTTGTGAAGTCCCAGTTGTTGTATGCTTCGGAGGTGTGGTCACCGCTTAACAACGTTCAGCTATCAAGACAAGTAGAGAAAGTCCAACGGAGGGCAACCAAGTGGATACTAATGAACAGAGAGATGCCTTACAAAGAACGGCTGTCGTCGTTAAACCTGCTACCATTAAGTTACGATAGAGAAATGAAGGACTTAACATTCTTTTATAAAGCTTTATTTGGTTTTACAAACGTGAACTTGAGTAACTATGTGTCGTTTGTCAGCCATGGTCGTACTCGATTGAGTCTTTCCTCTGAGTATATCCTTCAAAACCCACTGTGTAAAACTACCACTTTTCAATCCTCCTACTACAACCGTATTGTCAATATCTGGAACACTGTATCTCAAGAAGTATCTCTTGACAGTTTCTCTAGACCTAGTTCTTTTAAATGTTATCTCAAGCAAAAATATTCAAACTTAGTTAACTCTATTTACGACGTAGACGTGTCTTGCACGTGGTCTTTGACTCGGGACTGTCCTTGCCACAGGTCCTAACTGTTTATTAACATTTTGTAATAATAAACGTTTAACTTAAGAATACCATTATATAATATATGCATAAACATAACACAACATAATATAGTTTGTAAACCTTGAGTGGGTGCATTTTACGATTTGTACCAGTTGTTTCCCGCAGTTCGTTCATCAAATAGGAATACAATGCATTGTGGGAAACAACTGGGGATTTACTAACCCTCGATTTTTATGAGGCGTATGCACCTCCGAGGTTTACTAGAACAGTATAGATTTTCAATTAGAACAGTAAATTTTTACTAAGTTTGGGCAGGTGCCTTGCATGGTTCTTCGAGTCCCGTTTGCGCCTCGCCCATTTAGGGTCTCCGAATAATTAGACTTTATAATTAGACTTTGTACATATACTGTAGTGGACCCTAATAAAGACAATAATAATAAAGAAAACATCTACCGTATTTACAAGCCAAACTCTTTCGTGTCCTCGGATCTTTCACTCCCTCACAGTCTTCATTGTTGTGGTTCTTCAGACAGAATGCACAGTTTCCTCTCCTTTCGTTTGCTAACAATGCAGCTGTAGTTCCATGATGATGTTGGCCATATTTCTTTATATCACCCGAATTTCGCTCGTGTCTTTCCTGCTCTCGATCCGAATTCGTTCCCACTGCATTGTGCGCTTCACGAAGTTCGTGTTCCTTCTCAAAAGCGTTTAACATTTCTTCCATCGACCATTCCAGAAAGTTCTGCCCTCGCGTGATGGTCAAACGAAACTGTTCTGGCAACCTTTCCATGATTGTCGGAAAAACAATGGCTGAATACGAGTCTTCGTTCACTCCCAGGGCTTTCAATGCGCGGTTGTTCGCTTCGCAGCTGTCATACAACTTCCGTAATCTTTGTGTGTCTCTTTCTTTATAAACCGCCGGCAATTGTATCAGTTCATTTACGTGCGCCCGTTGTACTGCGCTTTTCTTTTCGAACCGTTTCTTTAACAACTCCACCGCACACTTGTAATTCGCTCCCGTCAACGAGAGACCAGCGATGGTAGACTTTGCTGGCTCTTCCAAATATCCGCGCAGATAGGCGAACTTGTCAACATCCGACAATTGGTCATTGTTGTCTATTGAGCTGGAAAATCCATCCCAAAACTCTGGCCATTCGCAAATCTTTCCGCCGAAATTCCGTAGTCTAAGTTTCGGAAGCTTCGCTCTTATGATTTTACCCGCACTTGATATTGAAACATGACTTTGATCAAGGTTTCCTTCGGCTGATGTGAGATTCGTTGGCGTCAACAATGGCAGGCTTTGTCCTCCGAGTTTTCCTAGCGCGTCGTCGAGTTGAAGCAACGTTTTTTCCAATTCTGCGATCGCTTCGCCTGAATCCTCGATCTCTTTGCCAAGTTGTTCGTCGACGTCTTCGTCTTTCGATGCGATGAATATATCAATGACTTGTTCATCGAGCTCTTTCAACATTTTGTTGTCTCGTAATGTGATCTGGCTTTGTCTCAGCCATACTAAGTCCTTCTCTGGGCTCTCTGTGCTTGCTTTCGGTATCGCTTCCATTATCTTTGCCACAAGCTTACTTGCCGATGCTCCGTGGCCTCCTCCAACTCGCTTTTTCTTTGTCAGATCGTCCATACTCTTCGTTTTCAAACTTTACGCAAATCTTTCCATTATCGACGGCAGCGCAAATATCAAACGTTCTTTGTTCGCAGCCTCGTACACAATTCACAAATCCGGTTCGATCGGACCACTGTTTTCCAGAATCTTCACTTTGATCTCCGCGCACACTGGTTCACACACAATAACATTCAGGGGACTGTATTCTATCGATTTATTTCATTGGAAAGATTATCTATTTACAACGCGATTTTAAACTCTCTCGTCTCGCTACGATCTGATCACAACTGAATTTACATATTTGCCTCAATCAATGTTGGTATTAAATTACAATGAATCACTATGACGTATTTTAAGCAATACTATATACATATTTGTACATTAAGTAGCAGAAGCAACTGCTGTGCGGAAAACTGGCGGCACTGCGCTGGGAACTTACAACAATGTTTATTCATAAACCTGGTCTTTCACCGTCACGTGCGTATTGTATTTTTGCCCAACTAACCAATAGCAATGCTTTAGGAAAGTTACCTATCCATGACTCGAACAATAGGGTAAATTGGAAATTGCTATTGGTGGATTTGGCAAAAATACAATACACACGTGACGGTGAAGGAGCAGATTTATGAATAAAGGTTGACTAACATAGATAATGAGTTATATTGTTATTATAATGAGTTTCCAAACCATCTCTTCTATTAACTATGGTTTTGCGAAGCAGAAAGGAGGAAAATATTCGTTTTGAGAAAGATAATAGTACAAGGAAAAACTTTCAAAAAAATTTGACAGGTTAGCAAAATACATTTATTACATAAAGAAATTAGTTTAAATACAAGTTTTTTTAAGAATTAGTATAGATAATCATACGGGAAGGAGTGCAATTAATGATTAAAACTACGAGTGATATTTGAAAAATGTGCCAAAATTGCACGAGCCGCCGTTTAAATGCATGACAAAATCGCTTTCTTTATATTTCAACTGCATTTTGTCAAGAGTTTTTAATTCTTTTGTAAGCAATTTGGTATAAACAAACTTGGAAAATGATTATAAACTCATAAACAAACATAACTTAAACTAGAACACAAGATTCAAACTCAAACAACATGTTTTAGACTAAGAAAATCTTTATAAATTGTATTTCAAATTTACATAGTCACGTTTCGCTGCATCCCGCCAAGATTATTTCTTAAGACTGTTTCCAGGCATTTTCCACAGGCTGTTCTTGCCATACAATGTTTTTAAACTCATTGTTGTGCCAAAATTCAGTTAAATTCGTCCACATTTGTTTAGGGGTGCACCAGATTTCAAATCCGGCCGGATTTAACGAATTTTCCGGCATCCGGCCGGATTTGGATAAAATCCGGCCGGATTTAAGTTTCTGTTTTAACCTTAAAAATTCACCAAGAATGGGATAAACCATCAATTTAGCAGCTTTAAAGTTTAAAAAACACTTATATTATTATAAAATATTAAGTTATTAACAAAAAGATATTTAAAAAAGGTTTAAACACAATAAAAAATCTAAACTGACACTAACTAAAAATAGTAAAAAACATGAACCGCCTTTTTTGAATACTGATTTATCCACAATTGTCCCCATTACCGGTTTCTCTCAAATCCGGCAAATTTTTGTCCAAATCCGGTTCCGGCCGGATTTGAAAATTCCAAATCCGGTGCACCCCTACATTTCTTAGAAATACTTATTTAAATTTCGCCGCCATATTGGATTTTGTTGTTTTGATTTCCCGCTCCCCCAGCCATCAAGAAAATCATTAATTGCACTGCTGGAGAGTGCAATTAATGATGGTAATAGAACGAATAGGAGTGCTATTAATGCCATAATCATACGAGTGATTACAAAATCAACCGACCGCGTAGCGGGAGGTTGATTTGTTAATCACGAGTATGATTATGGCATTAATAGTACGACTTAATTCGTTCTATTACTTATTAATTATTTATCTTCTGTAATCAAACTGTGGAAAAAAGCACAAAAAATACAATTTGTTGAAATTCAATATAATTATTAAATTTTTGTCACGACAATTCTTAGTGAAATAGCACAATCTTGAATTAAATTTATCATAAAAATTAACATATTATTAACTTCCGGGTATTATTTCCGGTATAATCACATGACAACATTGTTTGAATTATTCAATATTCAACACACAATTGGGAAGCCATGTTTGTATGTTTATAACGTGTTCAAAATAGTGAAGTTCTTTAGTTCATTTTAATCTGAATATAACTCCTGGTTGTGTCTAGTTTGGTGTCTTCTGCTGGAAGAACAGGTAGGTCATTTTCGTCAGAAAATATATAATTTAACAGCCCTAGAAAGCGAGGTCGGTATTCGGCAATGCCGACCTATTAAATGCCGACCTATCAACCTCCCAGGTCGGCAATGTTTTGCCGAACTTAATTCAACCAAAGTAAGAAACATTTTTGGTGCTGATAGCTGTTAAAAAGTCGGCGATTATAGAATTCGATACACTTTGGTGTAAGGTTTAAGAATTAACGGGTATTATGATATAATTTAGGTAAGACTCTAAAAGAAAAGCCTTCGTGACATTTATACTTTTCAATGATTCGTAAATACGTGATTACTAGTGCAGGCTACTAGTGCTCCAAAACATGGAAACAGATTTAAAAAAATGCCGAGATGTGCCAAGCTAGGTCACATTTAGGTCGGCATATTTTTTCCGACCTCAATTTTGCCGGTATTCGAGGGCTGATTTAAAAATTAAAAGGTCAAAATTTTCAAAATTTGTGAATTCCTCCATTTTGAAATTTTTTACAGCAACAAAGAAAATAAAATTCAAAGTTTGTATCCTGAATGCTGATTGGCTAGTTGTAAATACTAGACTGATTTTCATTGGTTGTAGACAAGAGTGCGATTACAGCTCAGAAAAGGTGCGATTAATGCTCAAATCGCACTCCTGTAAACCAATGGAATTGCAGTATTTGCCACTGATTACATAAGATAAATAATTAATGATGGTAATGGAACGAATAGGAGTGCTATTAATGCCATAATCATACGAGTAATTACAAAATCAACCGACCGCGTAGCGGGAGGTTGATTTGTTAATCACGAGTATGATTATGGCATTAATAGTACGACTTAATTCGTTCTATTACTTATTAATTATTTATCTTCTGTAATCAAACTGTTTAAGGGGGAAAAGCAGAAAAATACAATTTGTTGAAATTCAATATAATTTTTGAATTTTTGTCACGAAAATTCTTAGTGAAATAGTACAATTTTGAATTATTATTTATCATATATAATCAAATTAACATATTATTAACTTCCGGGCATTATTTCCGGTATAATCACATGACAACATTTGTTTGAATTATTCAACACACAATTGGGAAGCCATGTTTGTATGTTTATAACGTGTGAAAAATAGTGAAGTTCTTTAGTTCAATTAATCATCTGAATTGGATTGAAATATAACTCCTGGTTGTGTCTAGTTTGGTGTCTTCTGCTGGATGAACAGGTAGGTAATTTTCGTCAGAAAATATATAATTTAACAACCCTCGAAAACGAGATCGGCATTCGGCAATGCCGACCTACAGTATTAAAATGCCGACCTATCAACCTCCCATGTCGGCAATGTTTTGCCGACCTTAATTCAGCCTTTTGGTGCTTACAGCTGTTAAAAAGTCAGCGATTATAGAATTCGATGCACTTT